TGTGTGTGTGTGTGTGTGTGTGTGTGTGTGTGTATATATATAGTTGTGGTGAAACAGCATGTATCAGATCTCAATTTTTACATTATTTAGCAATGTTTGTATGTAGTGTGATGCCGCCAAAAACTAATTGCTTTGAAATGGGTATGTAACAACCTTTTCTGAAGTATTTAATAAAAAACCACATAACCCGAGCACTTTTGAAAGGTGGATCTTTCTTCTTCAAGGGCAAACTGGGAAAGTAAAATATTCATACACTCAGATTACAAAGACGTATTCAGATCAGGAATTTAGAATTTCCCACTTGAGGATCTCTCTTGTACTTAATGGGATTGGAATACAAAAGACCTGCAACAAGATGTATCCCAGCTGTGGTAAGCAAATTGCAACATCGTGTAACAGGCGAGAATCCACAGACATAAAGGTAAGTTGCAAAAGCCATCCGTGTGCCAACAGTAACAGTAGGCAACACAATCGAGAAAGGACTATATCTGGAAACAATGGCCAACAGGGTATGAATTCACTACGATAAAGATTTTACTCATACCTTCTATTTAACCATTATATACCTCAAGCAGCTGGAGAATGAAACCTGTATTCACGTTAATCCATGATAAAACATATTGATCAAGTCATTAGATGCAGTGCTTATAGATTTCTTTGTGACTGACTGTACTGTTGAAATGGGCAGTTGGAAACTGTCATACTTGTAGAGTAAAGGATTACTGAATGTACACAGAGAGAAGTGCTGAACTTTGGATATGACAACCTTATGATCTATCCTTTTGCATTGAAAACTACACTGCAGGACTATTGCCAAGATGTATAGCTGTCAAATAGATAATGTCCAGAAGCATGGCAACATAACCTTTTAGGATGCAGTGTAAGGCATACATAATCTTATATTGAACCTCTGCAGTAAGTAAATCTACATAATGTTACATACAATGACTCAAATAATTAAATTTGAATATTATCAATCAAACAATCAATAAAAGCATAATAAATGTTAAGGGAGAACAATATTATTTTAAAACGTTTAGAGAATTTTCAAAATTTTTAAGAATATATTTTTTCTTACACTGAATAAATTAAAAACAGTTAAAACTCTTTATGCATTTTGTTTATTTGAAAAAGCTTAAGAATCATTAATCCTATAACTACTGACACCATTTTTAAGTTCCTTTTTGCATATAGTGCTGCATTACATTGTAAATTTAATTAACCCTATGGCAACTGTGTGCTATGATTGGTACCATGTAATATTACTCTTGTCATATTTTATTCCAAAAATAAAAATAGTGGGTGAAATTTTTTTTTAAATTTAGCAAGACCATTCCTAAAAGTATGTAATTTCAGAAAAATAAAACAATTAATTTTGATTTTTTTCTACTATTTCTAATAAAAACATTCGTTATTTAATATAGTTATTTGCCCTAGCACTTTGAATAGGTCACCTGCAAGGTGAATTTCATATTAAGTATAAAAATATTATATTCTTACAGTTTTCACATTTCATTTGTATAATCTGTAGGTCCTCATAACTAAATATCAAAATATTTTATTTTCTCTACTATGTCTATTATCATTAACATACAGAGTAATAAAATGTTTAAAATTAACAAATGGAAATATGTATATACCTTTCAATTCTTCATATAAATCCACTAGAATAGTCATATTTTACTTATAGGTGTAATTTCAAGTCCTTATCTTTTCACTTATAGTTTATTTTTAATTTTCCTTTCAAATTCTTCATCTATTATCATTTATGCCCATACATTAACTGATGACCATGGGGCTTTACAAAGTTATTTTAGCAGACTCCCCATAGAGACATGTTGCCCAAACAAGATGGC